AGGCCCCGCCCCAGGCCAGATGGTAAGTGGCAAGAGCAGGGCCCTCAAGCACTCACTCAGGGAGTCTTCCTGGGCAGCAGGCCGCAAGCAGCACGCAGTCCTTATGAGGCCCCAGGCCCCGCCCCAGGCCAGATGGTAAGTGGCAAGAGCAGGGCCCTCAAGCACTCACTCAGGGAGTCTTCCTGGGCAGCAGGCCGCAAGCAGCACGCAGTCCTTATGAGGCTCCAGGCCCCGCCCCAGGCCAGATGGTAAGTGGCAGGAAGGAGCAGGGCCCTCAAGCACTCACTCAGGGAGTCTTCCTGCCAGAAGGCAGGAGGGGGAGAATCACATAATGTCTGCTAGAATTTTTGGCTCTCCAGACAAGAAATTATGATTATAATAAGGTCATGCCAAACCTGCCACATCTTTTGTGTCAAAACTAGGCACAACAGGTTTTTGAACAAGTGATTAATTTTTTGTTTTGATAACTATTAGCCTCATGTGCTGCTTTGAAGATTGGGAAAGTGGCATTCTAGAGTGCTTAACCCTTTCCTCCTGTGCCCCTTTCTAAATCACAGCTTCTCTTGGGTTTGCATTTATGTGCTGAGGACAGAACAAAATCTATGGGCACTCATGGCACATGAAGTGTGATGCTGCCACTGCAAAACCCTTCGAGTTGTAGTGGTGTGGCAGGGTAGGGTGGCAGGGAGGATGGGAGAAATATAAGGGTGGCAGTGGTAGCAGATGCAGGTTGACACACTTGCGTCTGCCGCCACAACTAACCCAGCGCTCCCCTCCTCCATCCTGGCAAGCAGCAGTGCCACTCTAGTCAGGAAAGCAGTGCCTTACCTCATGCACCACGACTATTCTTGAATCTCTCACATCACTCTTCACATTTGTCTGTCATATAGCCTTCCCATAGGCAGCTCAAAGTAGCATACATGCAGTCCTTACAGACTGATCCCACAACAACCCTGTGAGACAGGCGGGGAGTCTAGAGCAATTTACTGCTTGAAGTTTTGCTAGGAAGACTGTAATTCAGTATACAGAACATTTTTGCTCTTAAGTCTACACATTTTGATTCCTAATACTAGTAACCCTTACAATAAGCAGTCTGTTTATCAAAGTTGAAATTGCAGAAAAGCACATGCTGCGTATTTGAAAATAATACCACGAAGATTTTTTTTAAGGCAAATAAAGGCATGCTTAGATGACACACTGACATTCACTAATACAGTATATTTTTGGGAAACAGAACATGCACACTTACCAATCCTGGCACACTTCCAGAATATGCCCAATAATCTGAAAATGTATTTTGAGAAATTAGAAAAATGCAGCATTTCATATTTTAAGCTTATAACTGGATGCCTTTTTAATAGAGATAGAGTAGTTATGGCTAGAATTCAAAGACTGTGTGTGTATACACACAGACACACACAGTCATACCTCAGGTTACAGATGCTTCAGGTTGCGCGTTTTCAGGTTACAGACGTGCCGAAACCCGGAAGTACTGGAACGGGTTACTTCCAGGTTTCGGCGCTTTGCACATGTGCAGAAGCTCCAAATCGCAACCTGCGCATGCAAACGCGCCTCCTGCACAGATCACGTTCGCAACCCAAGCATCCACTGTGTATATACACACACACACCATGCTTAATGGCTCAGGCATGCCTAGTAGGATTTTCAGCTGTTTTTGTTGCAAAAGGAACTCACACTGCTGTGTCACTAAATAGTTTTGATGTGCCCACAGATACTGAAGTGGTTTGCTGTGCCAAGTACTTGGGAGTAGCATCCTTATGCAAGATTTTCGCTGCTGGTAATCCCATTCCAGGTACCTCAGCAACTGCCTTGTCTCATATGAACCTGCTTGAGTTCTTGTTCTAGCTTCTGGGGTCTTTCTTTTGTCCCGTCCCCTCACTGTTTCATTTTAGCCTTTTCAATTGTGGAATGACTGGCTTCCCCGTTCTGAAAGTAGGTTTGGCTCTTTCATTGCCTGTTTTCAATTTGCACTTCAGATAGTTTTCTTTTTTGAAGTTAGGGCTTTTAAGGATATGTTGCTTTTATGATTTAACTGTTCTTTCATTAATTTTAATTGATTGACACTGGGTTTAAAAAAAAATCTTAAACCACCTTGTATGTGCATCGATAAGAAAGGTATCATATAACACTGAAAAAGAAATCAACCTCCAATTTTCCTCCCCTAATAACCCAAGAAGCAAAAGCTCATGAAGATTTGTTGTAATGAATTATAGTTTAGCTAGGCTTTCAAAGATTAAAACGCTTATGACACAGATCTCACATCAATGATTACAGCTGAGAAGAAAATCCATTAATATCCAGTGAAATCAATGGGCAAGTGACTTGTCCATTAATTTCAATGGGTCTACTCTATCACTTGTGTCAGATATCATGCTGAGATTATAAACATGCAATTTATATTCCCCCTCCCCCAAAATTTCTAGAGTTACATACCCAGTTTGATTATTATCCAGTAACCTGGGAGCCAATGATCTTATGTATGCACAGGTACATATAAGCAGAAGGATTACTGTCAGTAGGCTCTGAAAATTGAAGATTGCAGACTGAAAGAAAAAAGTAAAACAGAAGAGGAGTTATGGTTCACTTTTGAAAATCGTCTTCCTGCCCCATTTGTTTCTGCATCCCTCCCTGCCAGTGAGTAGAAAAAAGTGAGTTTTGGGGGCCCATTATGTTACGTACGTCTTTACAATTCCAGTACACCCCCCCCCTAAATCTCCTAGCAAAGAAATCGGTACAAGAATATGATTTCTTTTCAATACAGTACATAATCTACTGGAACTCTGTATTTATAAGCACCATATAGACCACAAACTAAACAGGCATTTCAACTCTCAAAACAAAAACAACTGATGAAAAAGTTATCTGAAACTCTGGCATTCCTGCTTGTACCACACAACCACCAAAATGCTCATAATTATGGAAGACAGGGTGTGTGCAAATGGAAGACTTGTGCATTTCAAGGACATACTGAGGGCACCGGAAGTCTCACAGACACACTGTTCTCCTTTAGGGGATACCCTGTCAACGAGGATCAGGCCACACAGTGTTAAAGCACAAGGTCAGGTTTTGCCCTCAAAGAAATGCTATCACAAGTCCAGCATTTTACTTTTCCCCATAGGTGTTAACTGCAGCCATTCCTTTTTAAGGTAAAATTAAAGGAGTAAGCTTGGGAACACTACTGATGTGGGGGTCAAGCCTTTTCCTGCCGATCCAAGCCATTGATAATTAAGTCTTCTCCTATCTCTGAGGATGGGCTGCAGCTCAGCTGTTTGTTTGTTTGTTAGCAATTGTTTGTTTGAAACAATTTAATATTTTTTTAATCCTTGAGTAGCAAGCTGCAGAGCCCATACTTGGCATGCATATGATCCTGGGTTGAATCACTGACCTCCAAAAGGAGGATGGGAAAAACTTCTGCCTGAAAGCATGGAGAGCCATTGCCCATCCATGTAGACAATGCTGAGCTGGATAGACCAGTGGCCTGATTCATATAAGGCAGTTTCCTATGTTCTTATCTGCATCTCATCATCTATCCTATCTAATCATAGACTATATTTCTTGGCAATGTTGAAGTATGATGGACTGACTTTTAAATATAGAGAGAGCTGAATTAGGGCATACCATATCATTTCAAATGAACCTGTTAAACTCATAACCCAGACAGCTATAGTTGATGTAAAAAGAGAAGTGATATGTGTAAAGTGAAAAGGCAGAGAAAAAGTAGTTTTTATACCAGAACATCTATGGTCTCACTATTTGAAAGAACTATGGGCAAGACTCAGAATCATAAACCAAGGACTGTGCATCAAATGGAAACTTTGGGCTAGTTTTTCCTCAAACAATAGCCACAACTAACCTCTTTTGAAACCAAGCGAAGTTTCAAAAGCAACTAGAGATATAGGGTGATGTTTCACTATTCATCCCAACAAAATATCAAAAGCTGTTTGGCGCTCGGTCCATATATGCACCTTCCTACTAAACAAAACCCCATTAGTGAAATCCTATGTAAACAGCATGGCTTGTATATGTGCCTTTATCTACACAATAGTTACATGTAAATAATGTTAAACACTACAGTCCTGTGCACATCCACCCGAGAGGAAGCTCCGTTGTACACAACAAAACTTACTTCCATGTAAACTTGGAATAAGATTGTGCTGCTGCACACATGCAAAGGGGCACTAATTCCAATTGTTTAGCCACTGCATTTTAACGGGTACTGTCCAGTGCTTTTTATGTGGAAACCTATGGCATCTTGATGCGAGGCCAGTTTAAAGTCACGCAAAGGCCTCTGCAATTTAATGCAAATTATTATTATTAATTTATTAACCAGTCATTATTAGCACCAAAAAACTCCTAAAGAATCTTAGTGCTGCTCTGGGGAAAGTAAAAAGAAGACATGAGACCTTGAGTATAGTATTTAGAATATCAGGCGAGAAGGCAGCATTTTAAATATAACAAGAATAACCTCTTGTAAGTTAAAAAGGGGGAAGCAGGTTTTACAAACGACAATTTCATCAGCACATTCTGGGAAAGGGAAGATGCTGCAACGACAACAACCTTTTTTTTTTTAAAAAAGGAAAGGCCACTATTGTAGTGAGAGAGAGGCTGAGCGGGGAAGGAGCGGAAACGGGCAGAGACCACCCCCGGAGCCCATCACTGAGCCCAACGGCCCCACTCACAAACACAGGCGGACTACCAGAGACAAAGGCGACCTAACCGAAGCCCCCCCCCTCCAAATAAACCCCCGACCGCCGCGCTTACCATAGTTACGCAGCGCCGCGAGCCACATCACACATCCGGTAGCCAAGGGGCGGGGCACGGAAGAAGCGGCGCCTTAGACGCCCCACTGATTGGTTCGGAGGAGGCACAGGCTCCGGATAGGCGCAGGAGAAGACGGGGCCGGCGTTCCCATTGGAGGACGTGAGTGGGACGGGCAGCGCTCGAGGGCGGCGGAGGGGCCGAAACAGGGAAAGGCTCTGGCTTCCCGTTGGCTCAAGGGAAAGGAGGAGGCGGGGCACTTCCAACCGACACACACAAAACGGGGGGAGGTATTATTGGTTATAGAAGCCGGAAGTGGCAGTTTTCAATGCGGTGTGAGGTAGGCAAAGTGACGGGCAAGGAGCAGAGCCGGGGCGGGGGGCGAATGTGTGGGGTTGGAAGCGAGGAAGTTCCTTCCAAGGGGCGCGTTGAAGGAGCGGGCGGGAGAGAAGAAACACGTCTTTTGCCAGCAGTGCAATTCTGTACCCGCTTACACAGGAGTAAACCCCGCTCCCCCTATAGGACTCCCTTTTTGGGCGGCATGGTGGTCAGGACTGAACCCTAAAGAGTCCTATCCGCCCTGCGCCTCTTCCTCGCTCTCTTTCTGCATCAGGGAGGAGATACTTCATTCTGGGCACCTATACTGTATTTTCTATACGAGAATTAGGCGTTTTGTTTGGGTGCTCCTCACACGTTGCTTGCAGGGGCTGATGGGAGTTGTAGTCCAAAAGCATCTGGAGGGTGCCCAAGGCTGCGCTAGAGAGTCTTGAACTGACAAGCCACTCTCCGCTTAGATGATCTTGTGACAAGTAGTTCGTCGAAATCGGAAATAAGTCATCCTATATGCTTTGGTGGGGTTTTTTTTTTAGTTTTTTTTTTACGAGAAGCCCCCAGACCTACTAGGTGGTGCAAAGTTGCTCCGAACACAGTTTGAGTCTTAAGAATTGGCGTTGGGTACCAGGATTGAAGTGGGTTCACGGGCCTTTCACGCAGAAAAGGTCTGCTGTTTGCTTACTTTCTTCATTTCAGCAGCCTAACATTACAACGTTGTTTTTGCAATTGGGAACCAGAAAGCCACCCAATGATCTGTCAGTACATCCTGACCTGACTTTTGCCTGCCCCACTGTAGTTCAAGACAACTTAGTTGGTCCATGGTCTAAATGATAATACAAAGCTGAAAACTATTTATTTAAAAAGATGGTTTTTTTAAAAAAAAACACACCTTTGGCTGCACTAAATCCAGACACTTGCATAGATCTGTGCTATCTGATGCTTCTTAGCTGCTGTATTTGTATATGAAATGAAATTGGACCAAATGGCAACTCCCCTTGTATGCAGGGGTTCTATCTGAGGCACCACGTGTGCCAGCAGAACACACACAAGCCTGCCCAGCCCCCAACCACCCTGCAGTGCTGAAAACGGTGTGTGTGTGTTGTCACATGTTACTTTAACGCTTGCAAATGGGAAGTTGCCTGCATTTTCAGGGAGAATTTCCTAGTTTGAGCCAAAAGAGATCTGTATGGAACTTTGGACTAGAGCTTTTTCTAATCTTTCTGAACACCCCAGTTTTGTTCCTACTAGGACCTAGGGTTTTGACCTGAAGTAAAAATTATGTTTAATTTTTTTTAATACCACAGTGAAACTAACCATTTAATGGGACCCAAGGAATCCATAATAATCACTTCCCTGGTTTTAAGTTGCCAATTGCATTCATTGCTTCTCTGCCCAGCTATGAAAAAAAGAGAAGCTATTAAATAACTACTTTCAGAGAGAGTGCCCTTGTATGACTTCTATTTTTGTTAAGGGTGCTGGTAATTGTAGCTCTGTGAGGGGGCTCTCTTGGCAACCTTAACAAGCTACATATCCCAGGATCCTTTGTGGAGTGTGGTGACTGTTAAAGTGGTATAAGAGTACTTTAATTGTATGGTGTGGATGTGACCATTGTTGGACTTCAACTCCTATTTGACCACTGGCCATGTTGATGGGGGCTGATAGCAGTAGTAACCCAGCAGCAACTAGAGTGCACCATGTTGGCTATTCTGACTTGGTCTAGAATAGCTTTTCACCCAGGAATGCCTGGAGTTGATCAAACACAATGTGCTTAACTATCTTTTTAAAAAAAAGTATTTCGAGGGGTTCCAGGTAGTAGTTCCCCAAATCTACTGGCTTGGGGGACACCATTTTCAGGAAGGATGGCTTGCCATAACACTCCTTTGTGTCACTCTTGCTCAAGGTATTATTAGCATTATTGAAAGATGGGACAAAATGTTAAAATGTTTTAATAAATACTATTAATTAACTACCTTTTTCACAATAGGGGCTGTGTTTTCTAGCTAGCTTTAATAAACCATAAAAAGCAAGGATCAATTGTGGTTGAATGGACTTTTCCAAGCACCCTGTCAACATCCTCAGTTAATTATAACTGGAACTGATCCAAGCAATTGAGATAAGTGGGTGAAATGAACATCTCAGACATAACTCTTGACCCAACAATAACAAGTTCGAATGGATGTGAGCAACTTTATCTGCAAACATACAACAATTATGTTACAGCAGGCTGTCAGGTTGGAGGAGAAATGACTGTGATAGCCATTTCCAAACTGAACAATAGCTCTACTGCACAACATTCCATAGTTGCAGTGATGGCAGAGAAGGAGGATCTTTTTATCATTGCAACACAGTCTTTCAAATAAACTTTGTCCACAGTTCTCCTGTCAGAGCTGGGTTGTGGGCTCAAAAGTGTCAGAACCTTGGAACTGAGAACCAGGATCTAAAGACAACAAGGAGGCAGCAAAAGATAACTAGCTAGAAGCATAGACTAATCGGGATCAGAGGACAAACCAGAGAGTAGGAATTGGGACTATGGAGGGAGCCCAGAAATGTAAGAGACACTGGAGCTTATGTAAACTTCATTACTTAACCAAGGATTAGCTAGAAAAGTCCTTTATATAGCACCTTTCTGCCTAAAATCCAATGGCAAATCTGAGTGGGTGGAACCATGCAAGTTTGGAAGTGTCTTCCCTGAGAGGTTGCAGTTGTGTAGCTCACCACATGGGATATGGGCCAGCAATTTCGGACACGTCCAGACTTTTTGTTCTGATTTCTTCCTGCAACTTGATTAACCTTAATTCCTCAGAGTAATTGTGTCAGTAGCCTATGTCAGTTCCTTATTCTGAGCGTCAACAAGGCCAGAGTTAGAAGACTTGGTAGAACTGGTTGAAAATATATAGAGTTCAGCAGTCTGGCAGCAGATTGTTCTACTCTATCTCCCAGCTCTGCAAATGAATTCATGACAAGAGGTGCAAGCCAGCTCCATGCTCCTCACCCAAATCTGGGCCAGACCAGAACACAAGGTCTTGTGTGACTAGCTGTGTGTAATCATAGTCTTATGATTGTCATGACTGTCCAGACTCCTAAGCCAGGTTTGGTAAGGTGTTCTCAGCATGGAAGTTGTTTGCAACAATTTTATCTGTGTGGTGATAACATGGGCGTAGCCAGGATTTTTGTTGGGGGAGGGCAAGACTTTTGTTAGGGTTGCAGAACTGATGTGATTGGTCCATTAGTTAAGTATTTCTATTGTTTTACTTGATCGGGGTGGGGGCAGCTGCCCCCTTGCCCCCCCGGCTTCACTCATGAATGACACCGGTACTTTAAATAGTTTCTGTCATCTCAGCCGTTTTCCTTTATGGATACATTTGCAAAATGGAATTATGTAAATTGAAGGTTTGATATGTACTTGCAGCGATCCAGGTTGGTAGTATGAAGCAAGGGACTGGATCGCCCAGTTCCCTAAACTTCCCCTCTCCCTGCTGTCTAACTTTGATTTAGTTCAGATAGTCCTTTAATATGAGATATAATTGATTTGGGACCTGCAGGAACAGTGTTTATATAAATTGGTAGTGGTCATGTTCCCTGGTGAGAGGAATACGTGAACATCCAAAATAGCAGGGTAATCTTGACTATTTGAAATGCTTTTATTCCTCTCCCAGCACCAGCAGACAGCACTATGCCCCTGACGTGATGGAGAGCAGAGGCACACTGGCAGGTCCTTTCCCCTAACTTGCTCTCACTAAATTATTTATTCCCCTTTTTGGTAACATTAATGCTCAAGGTATGTAGTGATTTAGACTATACTTGAAATTTGTTCATTACATTTTATTTTGTTTTTAATGTTAATTATGCTTCCTTTATATGGCAAGCTGAGTTGTCAGTAGAAGCTCCATGTTGAGTGTTTAGCTGAATATTATTTGAAATGACCCAGAAGCCTCATGTGGTTATGAGGATGAAGGCCAAATTCAGTCCCATCCACAGGTGGCAGGAAACTGATTATGCCTGCATTTGAGTCTTCGTTAAGGTTGGCTTTGGTTGCTGTCAGTAGATCCAAAATGAAATGCACTGGAGGACTGACGTTTACTGTGTCCATGTTTGGGGGAAATGATATACAATAATAATGTTTACAAAAAATATTACTTTAGGTCCACCATCCACTCTCAGAAATGAAGAATGTGTTTCCTTTATTGGAGAATAAAATAAATGACCTGAGAATGTGAAATGTAGACTTCCTCTGAGACATTTTGGCAAAAGAAAGCAGAAAACATAGGAAATACATCACTACATAGAGTTGTCTATGTTTCTTTACTGTTTTGTTGTAATATACATGCTTAGTTAATATGTTCCCATTGAAACCAATGGGGCAAACTAGTCCCGTTTTCAGTGGTATCTAAATGCAGCTAACTTAATCAGTCCATTGTGTGCAAACTTCAGTAAAATATCCAAATGTTGTAATATTTTGATAACTGTGCTACTGATGTTGAGATGAGTAATATTCTAATGGGCTCATTGCACTCCCCACCCAAAAAAAGTTCATTTCATCTGTTTGCTTTGTGGATCAAGCTGTGTGTCTGATGCAGCTCACATTAGAACATGGTTTTAAAAACCATGGCACAATCCAGCCAGAGTTAGTGAAATTCCAGTTCCATTGATTTCAGCTTGAAAAATGTAAGCATCTTATGAAAACTTATTTTGAAGTCAACAGAACTATAAAGTGCTTATGGTTTTTAAAATAATACAGTAGCAACCCATAATAAGTTATGTGTAAGTAAGGTTTGCTCAGAGTTAGTTGTGCCTATTAATTGTGCCTAAGTTAGTCATGCCTATTAATTTCAATAGGGTTACTCTAAGTAGAAGTAACGCTGGATACAATCCAATGTTATATTGTTCTAACAAGAAGAAATCATAGCTGATTAGTTATGAGATTGTTTAAGTTGCTGCTTAATTATATATTTTCTGAGTTTTTAGCTTGATGGGAGGAACATAGCAATGGCTATTCTTCCATAAAGTCAAGAGTACCATGAGTTGTTCTGGTTTACATTAGCTAAGATCCAGAAAGCTAGCTTAAGCATTGCTTTGTTTTGTTGCAGCCATCAGTGACCATTTCTGTTCATATAAATTTAACCTGTAAATGCAAATTAAAACTTTAAAGACTTGACTTGCAAGTTTGAGATGCTCATGTTTCCTTGCCACCTAAGACATACACAAATCTTCTGCCTGGCTTCTCTTCTACTGAGCATGTTTAGTTCTGGCCCATAACTCAGCAACAGCATGTCGTTCAGCTGAATCTCCTGCCTTTTAGAAAGGAGACACAGTCAGCATGGGATCAATGAACTAATGGGTCCCTAGGTTTGCTAGTACTTCCTCCAGTTCCAGCTAGCATTAGTCCCAGTGGGACATTGCTTTCCTTGCTCTTCGTTGCTGAGTGGAGGTAGGACTGTGAACATCCTATTGGGTAGAGTTCTGCACTTCTAAGATGGAAGGAGGCACACTGTTTGACTGATGGTGTTCAGGGAGTACCTGTAGAGAATAGTTTTGGGGGTAGATGGTGTGTGTGTGTGTGCATGTGCGCACACCACAATAGTAACTGTAACAGAGATTCTTGCTATGAATTCCCTCAGGAGTGATGGGGAAACAGTCTTTTTTCAAACATCCTGACTGCAGGAATGAGTGAATGGTTCTGGGGCTCCTGTGTGATAGAAGGTTTGCAAGAATTTTCCTGCTGCTTCAAAAATAATTACAGTGGTACTTCGGGTTACAAACATCTCGGGTTACAGACATTTCAGGTTACAGACTCTGCTAACCTCGGGTTAAGAACTTTACCTCAGGATGAGAACAGAAATCACGCACTGGCAGCATGGCAGCAGCAGGAGGCCCCATTAGCTAACGTGGTACCTCAGGTTAAGAGCGGTTTCAGGTTAAGAACAGACCTCTGGAACGAATTAAGTTCTTGACCAGAGGTACCACGCAGAATAATGACGACACAGCACATTTTGGCATGGAAACACTCTGCTGTCATACAGAATAGACCAGAAAAGTTGGCAGATTTTTTTTTTTTTTTTGCATTGGGTTGAAATATTGGTTTACAAGGAGGGACCAAACTGTAGAGGGGGTCAAGATGTGTTTCTTTGCCCTGATCCACATTAGAGGTCGCAGCCAGGCCCAAGCTCTTAAGGCTAGCAGAAGGAAGGCTCGTTTGATAAGCCAATGAGAGGGGCACTGCTGTGCTCCTTTTCCTCCCAGGGCAAAATGAGCTGTTGAGAAAGCTAGCTGGAAGTGCACTGTGCATTGGTTGCAAGTAAGTGGACAGGCAGATGGGGGTTGGTTGAGGCAGACTGGGGCTAATCCTCCACCACTGCTCATGTGTTTCTTGAAACATGGCAAGATCAGCTAAGGCTATGTGCCATGTGGACAGGATCAAGCTGTAAATGTAATTGTTCAAGAATTGTAATATTTTTTCTTTTAGATCTGCATGTTCCCAAAGTATAATAGCGGAGGTTTGAGACACCTGCTGCTGCAACCTTTCTCCCTCAATCACTCTCTCAAAAGACAGTTCTGTAAGCCAGAAAGGAAAAGCTGGAGTCGAAGTATAAATGACACTGTGGAACAGTGAAGGAAACCTAAAAATTGGCTTCTGTATTGTGCCTGAGTGCTGTCCAAAGCAGTGTACAAAATCATTTGTCTACTAATTTTTTTAAAAGTGTCTTGTTTATTCATCAGGAATGTGGACTGTCATTGTTTGTGGAGTAGACTCCAACTAATTACATGCCAGCCAACAGCTGATTCTTACCCAGAAGGAAGCATTGCCTAATAAAGATCATAGATGCCAACACTAAAAGACACAAAGTACTAAAGATGAGCAGCTCAATCGTCAACTGTCTGATGCTTTCAATACAGCCAGTGATGTACAAATTGGGGTGGAACTCTCTGCTTCCCACCTGCAAGCCAATCTTTCTTCCTTAGCAGTTATATGGTGAGGTGTTGATATGTAATATGATTCTTCAAACCCTTAGGAAAAAAATGCTGGCTTTCCTTTTGCTGTAATCAATCAGTTTCCCTAAAGCGTTTCTTTGTATTAATGAAGGGACATAGAGACTGAGTGCTTTAATTTTCCAGAGATGGCAAGTATCTTCAGACTACAGAAGCAGCTTTATTGAATCTTTAAAGGCATTCCAGGATACTCCTCCCCATCTGGCTATTACTGGCTGAGAGATGCTTATCATAGGATTAAAAATGGGTCTTATTTACAATAGCATCTAAATGAGGTAGTGCTAGAAAATATTTGGGTTTTAACAGTCTGCTTTAATTAAACCGTGATATTGTTGTAAAAGTAAAATCCCACCAGTTTCAATTCAACTGGCTGTCATATCAGAAATTTGCAAAAGCTGCTTTTAAGAACTTGTGAAGTTTTTAATGTGTGTTTTTCTTTCAGTAACAAATAGAAGCAAACTGTTTTTAATTGTTTATTTAAACATTTTCAGAAGAATTCACAAGCATTACAATAGGCTACTGGGTGTTTTAGGAACAAATGCTGAAATACGGTTGTAATGTGGATGATGTGCACTGAAGGGGACCTGTGTTATAAGTTTGTATTCCCCCTCCGTCCTGCCCCCATACTGTCTGGGCCCTGCAGGCTCAAAGGCCATCTGCATCATCGGTATCCCAGTGCAAACTGTGACTTCCACAGTGAATCAGATCCTTGATGTCTCTGTGGAATGAGAGAGAGGACCTGATCTACAGATGCCTCTAGGTTTGGCATGCACTGAAGATGATATCATTGCATTCTGTAGCCTAGATTAGTTTCTGACAGGCCTGAAATGAGCTGGTGTGGTGAATTTTTACAGGGTGGGTTGTGTCAAATTATCTTGGGTGTTTCTTTGCTTAACCATAATCTTCTATCAAAAGCTCCCCCCCCCATTTGCCCCTTTATCTACACTGCTTCTTTAGTTGATAAAAAACATTTAAATAAATGAAATAAACAAGGAACTTATGTGTAATTAAGCTTTTAAGCTTTGCATTGGTTACTCTGGGTATTCATGCTCAATCAAGAGTAGAAGACTGATTTTTCACTTAGAATTCAAACATGTTTTTCCAATTGATGAGTTCCAGTTGTGATTTTTGTTATGGTTATAGTCTTTAGGCCCCTCAGCATTATTTTAAGTGAATTGCTCCTCACTTTTTTCTTTTTCTTTTTATTACAATGCAGCTGTTTTCTAAGTTAACATTTGGAGTTGAACGTCTCCATTGCTCAAGAGCAGAAGGCTTTGTTGACTTAGATCCAGGGATGCATGTGAGCAGCGGTGACCACTGCCTATGGGTTTGCACACATGTGTATAGTTGTGCTTAGCTTTGGGAGAGGTAAGAATCCTGACACAAAGGTCCCTCTTCCTCCACTTGTTGGCTCAAGTGAACTATATTTAGTACTCCCACCCCACTTGAATATTTATTCTAAAGTATAGTACAATCTCTTTCAGGTTATGGAGGCCATGCAGGTTTTGTGTATTAGATTTTAAATTCCTACAGGACAAATAAAGGAAGCTTAAATTATTTGGTCCCATAGAGAAATTGAAACATTATCTGTATTAATTCGCAGAGCTGTGGTTAGCGTAGCTTGCCAATTTCATATTTTGTTCCTCTTCATTGGACTGGGAATAGATTTAAATTATATATTGTTTCTCCCCCCCCCCCCATCCTCCATCTCTCAATTTTCCTAAACAGCTTTTTGGAGAACAATGGAGAAGAAAGTTGTTCGCATCTGCCCTGTTTCTGATCCAGGCACAACTTATTTTCTTCAGATAGTGTGGCAAAAAGATTTGGGCGCCGGTTTTGATGTAGTACTCAGTGATGGCCTATCAGCTTGGACTGGGAAAGGTGATGTATGATCAGATGCTATTTATTTATGTAATTATTTATTTCAAGGATTTCTGTCTCACTTTTCTGCAACAAGTGCACAGAATGGTATATGTGAAATGAGACTTCCCCCAGATTCTTCATAGTCAGGCCTCAAATGCATAAGCAAAACTTCAAAACTTATATTGTTGAACTATAAGGCTAAGCCACAAACAGTGACTTTCCTGAAAACCTCAGCAGCAGCCAGCCAGGGATATAAGGTATCAAGTGGGCCTTAAGATATCCTGGACCAAAGTTGTTAAGGGCCTTGTAAATTAATACCAGAATCCTGAACTTGGCCTCGTGCCATATAGATGGTCAATGCAAGAGTTTAAGTACTAGAGTTTTGTGCTGATGGTACAGTCTTGCCACAGCATTTTGCATCAGGAGGAGCTATTGAGACAAGTTCAAGGGTAGCCCTACGCAGAGTGCATTGCTTGCCAATCCGTGATACACTACAGTCACGCTATCCCTGCTGAAGAACACCCATGGCTGGTGTACCAGCAATAGGTGTCATGAACTGGTGAGATGACAGGGAGGAGGAAGAGGATCCCAGTGAGGGGTGTAGCCAAGATTGGGATACACCGGGGCAAGCAAGGAATAGGGAAGGAAATACTCACGGGATAGTGGAGGATGGCGAGGGGGATGGGAGTCAGTGCACCAGAACCAGAGCAGCAGGACCCATCACCAGAGAAAGAGGAGCCACTGTCTCAATGAACTTGGCAGGCTCTGAGGCATAGGGAGCAGCGGAAGTGCCGCTCTAGGAGGCTGAGGCAGGCAAGTGCCCATGGCCCATCTTCCTAGCTCGCTAGGTGAGGCTCACTAGTTCTGGGAGGAGGTGTGTGATTTCTAAGCTGGAGGAGGCTTGGAACAGGTGAGGGTCACATGCCTCATCAAGTCCAGATGTTGCAATCAACATGCAAAGTACAAAAGGGAAGCAGAGCTGAGGGGCAGCGTCTATTCAGCTGCCCATGTTGGTAGACCTTGACTTGGATACTGTTGGACTGCACCTTGGGTTTGACTCTGGACTGTATCCTGACCGTTGGACTTCAGATTTGGCTACTTGGATTGACTCTGGACTGCATTTCTGGACCTTGGACCTTGCTTGTGTGGCTTGACCCTTGGTCTTTGAGCTTTGGACTTGACATACTGACTTGCCGCCAGGTAGGCCAGGGGATCAGGACAGTGGTTGGAGGCACTTCTAGTCACTGCAGCTACCCGAGCCTCCAGCAACACAGATGGATCCATGAGCAGCCACATACTGCAAACCTTTTCTTTCAGAAAGCATGCAACCCTGTCCAGAACAGGCAACCAACCAATTTCCTGGACATGGGAACCACCCACCTGCAGTGTCTGCATCTGCCAAGGATTCAAACTTAGTTTATTGACCCTCATTTAGTTCTACCTCATTTAGTCCAGGAAGTGGACTAGATATTGCATAGCCTTTCCTACCTCAGGTGCTGTGAAGATGTGGAGCTGTGTGTCATCAGCATACTGCTGACCCTTTGCAACCCCCACAGCTCCTAATGATCACTTCTGCCATTGTTCCATTTATTCAGGTTGCAGTCCAATGGAACTAATGTGTGTAGGGAAACTGAGGAAGAGCCATGGTGTTCTTTTTTGGTTTTCATCACTGAATTACCCAGAGTTGACAGGGCAATCTCCTTTTAAACTGAGCAGTGGCTTGACTCATGGGGTGACACAGAAGGGAAATCTCAAATGTCTTATTGGTTCATGCCTGGATATAAATGACTGTTCTGCATATATAGCTTTAGAGATTAAGTGGTTTACGAAATGTCGAGTATTTGAAGTGACCTCGTAGAGCTTGTTGGCAGGAAGAGTATTACACATATGTGTATGTAAAGTAAGTCTGTTTGCGGGTTCTTCCTTTATGCCTGTTTTGTGCTCCCAAGTGTGGGAAGCAATTGTTCTGGTGATCATCATACTTGGGTGGGTGCAAGTTGCTAAATCCTAATGCTTGTCACCCTCCCAATGATTAATGGACACCAATAATCTACACATTATCTGATTTTCATTGTGAGCCATTTTCCCATGGTTCCTTTTCTTGCTTGATTGTACTCTATAGTATTACCCTGCAAAACTGTTGTGGGTATTACAGATGCCATTGAAAATTTCCTTTTTTAAAAATAATCTTTATTAATTTAAATTACACACTTATACAAAGAATTTACAATCTCATACTACAAAAAGAAAATTAAAGAAAAAACAATTAAGAAAAAAGAAAAGAAGAAAATACAGAAAAAAGAAAGAAAAAGCAAATTTGCGTATATAAAACAAACACATTTAATCTTCCTAATTAATACTTAGCCATTGAAAATTTCCATAACAACTATGGATGCTTATAAAAACAGAAATTTTTACCAGGTGTCAGATGGCCTTGGACAAACAGTGTTCAAAACTCCATTGTCTAGGCGCATTTTGTGACAGGGAATTTCATTAGCATGAGCAGTTCTTGAGCTCTGGGCGCAGTACTGCGCCTAAGATTTCAGATTAAAACTGCAGAGCGGAAGGAAAGGATGACTTCTGCCTCCCCACTTCCAGTTACTCCCTGAAGACTGGAGAAGAGACCCTCTTAAGAATATTAGGGGGTTGGCATGGGAAGAACAAGACCATATGAAAAATGAACATATTTTAGCTGTAGTTCGTTCATTTTCAGTTTTGTATTCTTATGTAAAAGCACTTCTAGACATTCTGTTGTTGTACCCATAGCCTAGGTTTAAGGTGCCATTTAGCTCCTTGCTTTCATATCTCAGTTTCTAACACTGTGGACAATGCATCCTTTGAGGAGCCTCCTCATTTGTCAGTTGGCCCCATTGGGTTTACCTGGCCGCTGTATTACAAACAGCACTTGGCAGCTCAGTCTAACCACCATTACAATTTCCCACAATGCCCCAAAGTGATGCTATATAGCAGGAATGTCCAACAGGTCGATTGCGATCTACTGGTAGACCCCTGGGAGGTTCGTTGGGTCCCTTTCCTTAGCGCTGGTAAAGCCCCACCCTTCATTGTTGCACAGAGTTTAGTGAGGCTGTTTGTTTCCCCAGCAATCTGTTGGTGAGTGGTTGTCCCCTTTTCTCCCTAAAAATGGCCAACAGCTAAACTTTGAACTCCCCCAAAATGTGGCTCTCCTCCATTAAAAAAGCTCAACAACTTGGACCTGAATAACTGGATCACTGCCAGTTTTTAATTCTGTGAGTAGATTGCAGTCTCTTGGGAGTTGGCCACCCCTGCTATATAGGAGCATTATATGAGATGAATTTGACAGCTAGATGTCTCAGCTGGAGAATTAATATGGCAGTTGATCCGACTGTCAGTTCAGATATTTTAAAGGGGAGCTTGGACTGGCGCTCGACTCTGCTGTGGGGCTGAGGCCTCAGCAGTGACCCAAGGGTGTCGGGTGCTGATACTGGCCCTGACTCCTAGTCATTAAGAAGAGGGGTGATACATATTCATGGAATGTGCAGGGTGTCACCATGGAGAAAAGGCTCACTACAAGGATCAATAAATGTGCAGGATGGCTCTTAAATGGATCAGTGTTGAAATCTGGGTGGCGGTACATGCTGGTGTTGGAAGACCTGTTGAACTAAACCTAACTTTATTTGTGAATTGGGTTGAGTGTAAGAGTTAAGAAAGAAAAGGAGCACAAAAAATAATTGAATAATAACATTAAAATACATTGCAGTGGAATATAAAAGGGAGATAAATAATTATCTGATCCCAGGCATATGTTTACTAAGCCCGTAGTGTTTACTTCTAAGTAGAAATGTTGAGCTTACGCTATCAAGACCAATGCCAAAGTGCGTACTTGTTTACTCTTCAAATCATCCACATGTTTTGGTTTGATGCTTTCCTTAACATAGGATTGTGAAATGGGCTTTGAAATCATAGCGTAACTTCAGATGGGGCGAGCAAAAACTAAATTGAGTTGTAAATGTTAAAAAAAAGAAGATAAGGAGCATTAAAGAGGAGAGCTGATTCAAATACTACTGAGCTCTCTAGAAAGGTCCTCTAATCCTGTGAGGTTTGGTTCGAATCCTGGATTTCAGGCTATAATCCTTGCAGAGTTATGTGCACCTAAACCATTTTATTTTAGTGGGTTTATGTGTGCCTTACCTGGATATCATCAGGCAGTTCAGATTTCTTTAGCTTTAGAAACTTTTGAATCATTGTGGTGATTTTTAATTACTTGCTTCAGTAGTCAGCAGCAATAAATTGACCTATAAAGTGTTTGATTAATTACAGAATGTGATAAGGGATGGAATATAAAACCAACCATGTTTTGCCTTATTTTGTACTTTGAAGAAATCCTGTAAGAAACTGCATTGTGACAAAAATGTGTATGGAATCTTCCAACAGTGCCTGAGGAAGATATTTCCAAGGAAGCTGCTGACATGGAAATGGAACGAGAGAAATACATTGGAGAGCTTAAAAAAGTGTTGTTATTTGAAGGAGGACTGGCAGACAAATACAATTTTGATATTTCTAAAGGAGGAGTGGATGGAGAGTGCCTCAATTTTTCTTATGAAAAGAATCTGAAAGATGTTTCTGTAAGTATTGCTTTATTAAGAATTGTTACATTATGGTTTTCCCAAGAGAGTTTCAGTATAGTAGACCATTAATCTTCAGTAATATAGTGGACACTGCACAGCAATTCCTTAAACTTTATTTTTCAATAATTCTGTAATGGGTAAGATCTGTGAGGTTGTTTTTAATCAGTATAAGGATTTCTTTGACTTTTTGATTCCAAAATTTAAGTAAAGCAAGGAATCATTTTGTTAAACATACATTAAGTTTGAGTTATTGTCTGAATCCCAAGGAGTAAAAGGCTATATAGTTACTCTGATGAAGGCAACAACAATGAAAGCTATGGGAACAGCTTAAATTATAATGTAGCTTTGTATTTACCCTCCTCTTGGGAACATAATTTGAATGAATTTAATTTAATGCTTTTAGACTATCTGGCGTGATTTGAAAAATGGCAGAAGTTTCTTGTAAGTTACTAGCATTGATAAATAAAAATATTTATCACATGAGGTAAACAGAGGCTTTCCAGATCTCTAATTTTTTTCAGACCTGGTGGTAAACCTTTTATATATGGTTTTAAGTCACTAACATTTCTTCAATAACTCACACTCAAAGCTACACATGATGTTAATGTTATGTAGTTTTGTCCCTTAATGCTTCATCTATTTATTTTACTTAAAAACAACTGCTCAGGCCATAGACACCAATGTGATACCTGTGGATACGTATGAGAGGGAGAAAGATCAGAAATCTTTCCTCTGCCGTTTTACCATCTTCTATTTGTCCTTCCTGACAGTGCCCTATGCTTTCTACTTTTATGTTGGAAAACTTATATGTGTTTGTTTCAGGGGAAATAGGCACTTTTTTTGAGGAAATAACTACCTATCTGCACCATAGAATTGTAGAGTTTGAAGGGACCTTGAGGGTCATCTAGTCCAATCCCCTGCAATACAGAAATCTTAACTAAAGCATCCATGATAGATGGCCTCAGTCCACCACCTCTTATGGGAGTCTCTTCCACTGTTAAACAGCTCTTACTGTCAGAAAGTTCTTTCTGATATTTAGTCAGAATTTCCTTTCGTGTAACTTGAGGTCACATCCTTTGGAGCAGGAGAAAACAAGCTTGCTCCATTCTTCATGTAACAGCCCTTTTGATATTTGAAGATAGCCATCCTTTCTCCTCTGTCTCCTTTTTACCAAGAAAAACTTATCAAATTCCCTTCACCGTTCCTCATAAAGCTTGGTTTCCAGACCTATGTTCATTTTGGTCGCCCTCTTCTGCACACATTCCAGTTTGTCCATATCCTTCCTAAAGTGTGGTGCCCAGAACTGGACCCAGTACTCCAGGTGTGGTCTGACCAAGGAAGAATAAAGTGTACTGTCCCCTTAATCAGGACAATTTACTTCTGTTGATGCAGCCTAGAATAGCATTAGCTTTTTTTCTGCTGCATCACGCTCTGGACTCATGTTAAGCTTGGGGTCTTCTAAGACTCCCTAGGTCCTTTCCACATGTAGTACTGGCAATCCATGTGTCTCCTATCTTATATTTGTGCAGCTGGTTCTTCAAACCTAAGTGTAGAACCTCATATTTGTCCCTACTGAGATTCCTTTCTGTAGTTCTATTTCCATAGTTCTAGTCTCACTGAACCATGTAGGTTCCAAAAGGTGGCTTACCAGGCAAGCAGACTAGACCTGGGAAGCTGTGCTCATCAAGGCTATTGCATGAAAACTGCAGTAAGATCAGGCTGCACTCTTTAGTGTACATCATTGGAAATAAGTCCTGTTGACTTTCTTTCTTTCTTTCTTTCTTTCTTTCTTTCTTTCTTTCTTTCTTTCTTCAAAATTTATCTGTCACTTGATTGTAATAAAGCCTCAAATCCATGTACAATAACATATAACATTTTCAGTAAAGGACAGTCACAGAGATATTTTTTAAAACGTTCACAAATAATTGGAAACAAAATAAGCTGAAAACAAGATTAAAACGCATGTAACTTCTATATGTCTGGAAAAGCTTTCCTAAACAAAAATGTTTTGAGCAACCATGGGAGAGTATAGCGAAGGCGTTTGCCTGATGTCATTAGGCAGGGACTTCCAAAGTGTAGGTGCTGCTAGACTAAAATATTGATTTTTTACAAGAATGCATATTATCTGCCACCTGATACAATACCAGTTTCAAAAATTGAAGCAGTCAAGTGAGCATATATGGGATAAGACGACCCCACAAGTAAACTGGTCCCATACTGTTAAGGGCTTTATATATGAATAGCAACATCTTGAACCTGGCTTGGTTGAAAATTGTCCAACCAGTTGCAGAGCAGAGATGTGATATACTAACAGGGTCTCCCTCCTGTCTTCAGCTGTGCCAGAGTTACTGTGGTTAAGCTCCCCTGGTCCAGGGACAGCACTGGTCACAGCTGAAATAAAAATAGGCCATGCTTCCACATAAATGTGTTCAAGAATGAGAAGCCAGGGTAACAATTTTTTAAAAAACCTAATTTGTATTTTATTTTTTACTCATCACATTTGTATTCTGACATTTGTGTGTGTTATCTTCATGACAACCCAGTGGCTTGCCCAAGGCCACCCAGTCAGCTTCATGGTTCGATGGGGATTTAGATAAGGAAGTCTAGGTATGATTGAGGCGGACAGTCTTGCATAGTGGTGATGACATTAACCAGTGACATTATCTGTGATTTTGAAGCGTTAACATTTTTCGTAAAGGGATGGATAATAGTGATGGGTTGTTAAAAGTTAACCCGCTAAGCATGTGGATAATTTGCGTAACTATACTAATCAGGAAGGGGGTCTGGGGAGCATAACATAGTATGGGCCTCCTTTAGTTGAAAATTTCAAGGTAACCCAGTTAATTTTATCTACTATATTAGATGTAATAAGTTAAAATAAAGGAAAGGAAAATAAGGGCTGTTGACTGGGGAACATGTACAGTTGGCAAAATCTGTATGTCTTTGGAAATACTTGCTGGAAGAAATAGTGGTAGTTTAGTTTGAGTCATTCTGCAATAAACTAGACAAAGCATTGGAAAATCTGTGCCTTGAAGCAGTCTTGCATTGGCATTGAAATGCATTTCATGACCTAATTAGGTGTTTTGCATCCTAGAAATTTATAATTCTGTGACAGCTAGCCCACACATGGGGCAGACATGAAAAACCTTCCAGGCAATGATGTTTTAGTGAAGTACAATTCATTCGCGTCAATTCACAATTCAAGCTAGTCCTCCTGAAATTTGATCTTCAATGCCTTGTGAGTGTTGATTTCAACACTGGGCCCACTGAGTTGTGCAATTGGAGTCACATTCAAATCTACATCAGCTGCACCAATAGAACTTATTTCTTTTTTGGCAGTTTAATTTTTTGCATTATGAGACTCAAATAGATTAGGAATTGGGGGTTCCTGTTTTGTGGTTTTATATTTTGATTTTGTTCTGTGAATCACCCTGAGACTATTGGGTATAGGGCGGTATATAAATTCAATAAATAATAATAATAATTATTATTTGACTTTAATGAATAGAGCAAAAGAAAACTTCCTTTGCCTTTCTGATTATGATATCCCAGATATATGTGCGATGCTGTGAAATTGTATTTGATGTTTGTCAGAAGATGTTATTAATGTGTAATGTAGAGAATTAATAAAGAAAGGTTGCAGTTGCTACCAATAATTATTCTTCCCATGGAAGAAAAGGATTTACTATACTGTAGACAGAATGTTACAACTTCATAATAGTTTGATAGCCAAAAGTAATGTTCAGATCAATTATTGCATAGTTTAAACTATGTTATGAAGAAATAGAACAAGTATATAACACTGCCTCTGTTTCTGTGAAATGCTTTGTTCTAAGTCCACTGAACTTTCAGCCAAAGGACACGAGGCTTTCGTATACCAGAAAATACTAGAGATCTGTATTAGTTGCATCTGAAGCCACTAAATTATATAATACCAATTATTAATGACTTTGCCTCTTAAGACAGCTGTCTTTTGTCTTCAGAGTTTTTAACATGCTGCTCTTTGGAAACGCTCTTAGACTGGTAAGGGCAAACTAGACTGTTGAGAATTGCATTAAAATAACAATAGGCTTGGTACACAGTAGGGCTTGTGTGTCAAAGCAGCTGCAGAGCAAAATGGGCCACACACACTGAGAACTCAGTAAGGGGCCATTGAGGCTCGGCCAGCTAAACTGCTGCCACCTAAACAAACACCATAACAAGAGTCAGTGATTTACTGTTTGATCTAAGTAGGTGACCACTTGGAAGTAAATCTTTCCAAGTACTTCAGCTAGGAACTCTCTGCATATAACAAATAAATGGGACTCCTGCAAGACTTTCTCATTGGAGGTGGCAATTAAATTGATTAAAGACCTCTTGATAAGCAGCATTTGAGGGCTAGCAAACCTTTCTGTATAATAAGGTGGCAAGTATTGTATTTTCTTTCTGCCTCCACCCCCGCCTAAGAACATTGCTAAAATTTTAGTCAATGAAGTTCCGTCAGCATGTGAAAAATGACATGATTTACTAGGCTGAAGAAAGAAACCCACATAATTTGTTTCAGCTTGTCCATCTTTTTTGTAGTGTGTTCTTAAAATACAGGTCACAGGACAGAAGGATAATTTTAATTTTCAAATGGATTAAAGCATCACCTTATATTCATGCGTATATTTTCACATATCCCTCTGCACCACCACCAACTAGAATTTCTGTGCATTTCAGAGTTTCCCATATGGTAATGTCAAGGACCCAAAGGCTCTGAGTTGTGCTTTCCTGTTTTGGGATGCATGCTGGGCATTATAGCTCTTGATATTTCAAGTCAGTGTTTACATTTTCTTGTTCAGCTGAGTTAAAATAACTTCTTGTCATGAGGAAAATCTTTAAATCATGGGCTGGTGACAAGACTTGGTTTCCACAGAGGGAGGAAGAGAGAAAGAGAAGAAAGAGATGATTATGGAACATCAAGTGCATCGTGACTGCTCTGCCACATCATTCATATTGTTAATTTTTTAAAAAAA